AATGGTTATATGGCCTCCCTGGTGGCGCAGCGGGTTAAAGCACAGCACTGAGAAGCTAAAGCAGCTTCCGCATGAGTTCGATTCCCGCCTGCCCCAGAGGTGACCACATGGCATGGCAGACCTCTCCTGACCCGCCTGCTGCTACCCTCAGCAGTGTACTTCGTAGATCTGCCTCTTCTGCTCCCCACTCTGTCTCTCTGGTGAATCCTCTCACCCCCACACCTCTGGCCTACACCCCAGTTCTTGTGTGAATAAAACTAAATCTTAAAAAAATAAAAACAAGATGAACAAGAAAGTGATTAGTAAAAGGTCCCAATTAGAAGAAGCAGAACTGCCTTCTCTAGGAAGAGCTCAGTGAAGCTGAAGGTCAGAAAGCTGTTCAAGGCGACTGGTCATCTCACACAGAAAGTCTCCAGCTGATGGAATAAACTGAAACTAAGATCATGCATTCCATAGTTCCCAGTGGCCCTCCACTAGTTGTACAGTCAGCAGGAAGAACAGTATACAGCACACAATTTCAAGACCACCATGCTAAATAACAAAATGAGTCAGGTACAAACACTTGGTGCTACAATGCTGAAAGGTATAAGAATCCAGTTTTAAGGAGGGTAGGTATTTGTTCCTTCTTTAAACACACTTATGGTGAAAATCAGATGAGGGATCCCCATTCTTTTTTGCTAGACAGTTAAAATGATTTCAGGGCCTATGACTGTACACAAAGCGAGCAGGGTCAGAAAGACTTGCAAAGGTATTACCCAGTCAGCTGTTCAGGAGAGAACAATGGCTTTCCCTCCCAGATTGATAATCTACCAGGTTGCAGAGATCACTGTGAAGATGCCCCTCCCCCCAAGATGTTTTCTCCAAATTGAAGAAAGTGGCCTACCTAAGGACGAAAGACCATTGTCTGGACTTGGTGACTTTTAGGGCCTTCAAGAAGTAGGGGCAGGTCTGAAGCTTCCAAAGTTTCAAAATTACCACATGTCTTTCTACCTCAGAAACTAGGAATCACCTACCTGCCAGGTATGTTGTGAAGCATGTAAACATACTGTTAAGGGGAAGGATGTCCTAAAGGAACTCTGCAGAGTCTTATGGACTCCACCCGTACTCCAGCTTTCTGGATCTACCCCCTACTCCAGTGATTGGAAACTACAATTCCCAGCAGTACCAGGGAGAGAACGGTGAGGACCCAAGGGCGGAGCTAGCAGGAATTCCCTTTTGTAAATAAACCTGTTATTGACCCTTTTGTGTGTACCTGCAGTATAACTGAATTGTGAGCGCACGGGTGAGGCCCCACAGACAGGTGGCCCAGTCCACTCTGGGCTTCCCTGTAACAATATCACTATTTAGTTTCGTAGCCATAAAAAAAAAAAAAAGAGCTGAAAATATGACTAGTGGCATTCCAGTTGAAAACCTCTCTAGGGGCATCCAGAATCTCAAGACATTGCTGTAAGGAAAAAGCAGCAATCTCAGAGCTGTGCTGGGGTTCAGGTGCCAGAGGAAGGTCACCTAAGAACCGAGCTCACTACTTAAGCAGTTCTATTTAGAACAGAAGAAACACAGGCATCTCCATGAACAACCAGAGTATTGTCTCGCTGGTTCCTGGATGTGAAAGAGCCCATCTGCCCCTAAAGCACCTACTAATCCTTCCTGAGCCCAAGTTCCATAACATTTTACCAAATGCTAGGTGTCAGGCATTGTGCATAACCCCTTTAACACAAAGAAAAGCAGAGTGAAGCTGCTGTTCTTTCAGACTACTCTAGTGGACAGGGCATCACAGAAGAACACCCTTTCCCCGCCCAGCAATTCTGTGCCAGGAATTACCTCAGCACATTCCTGTTGTGACAACTATTTATAAATTAGTCTCCCAATGGGCTCTGAGTGAGCAGAGAAGATCTCAGCCATTCTGGTTTCTCTGCACCTAGCACAATGCTCCAAAAAGTAGTTTGAAATGGTGGTGGCAGCTGTGCCAGTTAAAGGTTAGGAACCTGGGCTCTCCCTGGTGGGGCAATGGGTTAAACACAACAAAGCTAGCCACAGCCACTGCAGTACGAGTCTGATCCCTGACTAGGGAGGTGACCCACATGGGGCAGCAGACCACTCCTGTGATGCCCACTGCTCCCCTCAGCAGTGTATTTCATCGGCCTGCCTGTTCTGCTCCCAGCTCTGTGTCTGGTGAGTCCGCTCACAACCTGTACCTCTGGCCTGTACCCCAGTTCTGTATGCACAAATAAATAAATGTTAAAAAAAAAAAGAGGTTAGGAACCTGCAGAAAGAGTTGACACAAGAAGCTAAGAAAAGAAAGTTCAAAGAACAGTTAAAGCATATCTACTTTAACTCTACCTCCTCTTTCCTGGGCTCCTGTTCACCTGTGACTCCTCTTCACTGAGCGGGCTCCCTTGGCTGCACAGGGACCTCAGGCCCAGACAGGCCCCTTTCACCAGGCTCCAATCATATGGTTTTTCACCATAGGCCTTTTGTTCTTTCCTCTAATACTTTTAGGTTCTAGAACATGATGGCCTACCTGGTCAAGCAGATTCTCCCAGTCCTGGCTGGCTGATAAGTGATGAGTAGAGGGAAATGGAACAAATGGTCTTAAAACACCTTTGTTTTTCCCATTGCGACTGAAAGAAAATCCAAACTCCTTCCTGAGATTTTTTGATACTGTGTGATCTGGTAGCCTTTCTCCCAACTTTACTTGGGACTTGCAATGTGCAGCTCCAGTATTTTTTCAAAAAAATATGTATGTATACAAGAACAGGGATGCAGGCCAGAGTTGGGGGAGCCGGGGGCAAGAGGAGTCACCAGAGACAGAGTGGGGAGCAGCACAGGCAGATATACTGAAATATACGGCTGAAGGGAGCAATGGGGGAGACAGGTCTGCTGTGCCATGTGGGTCAGCTCCCTGATGTGCTGAAGAGGCTGCGGACAGGTTCTTGGTGCTGTGGTTTAATCCATTACCGTCCCTCTAGAATCTTTTTACCCTTTCTCATACTGGGCTTCTGCAGGGGCCCAGTATCCAAGGTCTGCTCCTCTCTGCCTGGCTTCCATGACATCCATTTAGCATAATCCCGCTCTTCCAGGTACATCACCCTTTCTTCTCCACTTCCCTTGAGCCCATCCTTTTGGCCTCTAAAACTCATCACCCACTTCTAGTCCCCTCCACTTGGCTCCATTTGAACAAATAAATCGGTGGCCTTTAAGTCCCGTTCAGTGCTGCCCAAGCCTTCTGCATCTACGGCTCACTCACCTGTGCTCTCATCTTTACATCCTCAAACCACGTCATCCCCCCGCCCCCGCGACCCGCTCACCTCCGCGCACGGCCGTCCTTTCCGTGGATCCACGCAGTATCTGGCCGGTGCCTCGTCCAGACTCTGGTCGGTGGTCCTGACCACAATCTACGTCAGAAGCTCGCCCGAGTCGGGGACCGGCAGCCAGCTGTCAGACTCAGAGCTTGGGCGCGACACACGCCCAATAGCCGCGAGGGCGCAGCGCGCCCGTGCCCCGCCCCTAACCAGCCCCGCACCGCGGTCCCGGACTTGGTCCGCGGTTACCGAGGCAACGGCGCTTCCCG